AAAACTGAGCCCTGGGGAACACCGCTCGTGACCGGCCGCCAACTGGATGTAACTCCATTCACCACAACTCTCTGGCCCCGGCTGTCCAGCCAGTTTTTTACCCAGTGAAGAGTACACCTGTCTAAGCCATACTGCTATGTTTGGGAGCATATATATCTCTTTCTAAACAGGATCTCTCATAGATTTAAGATACTCTTCATTTTTGTCAGAAAAATATAAAGCAATTTCTATATAATTTCCAATACTTAGCCAGGTAAAATTGAAGAGCACAACACTGAGTTTATTACAAACCCGAGTTTGTATTAGCCTCTGGAAGCTGCTTTGATACCAGAGAGACACTAATGGATCATGAAACTATAGCTAAACAAATAGGTTAATAGATAGGTAACTAGACGGGAAGGTGCCTCAGTGAATCCCTTTGTGTCTTACAGATGAGGAGAAAGCTTTGCCCTTCTGTGCTCAGTTTTTTCAACCCAAGCCCAATAGCTCAGTAAGAACGAAGGAGAGGGACACGTTACCTCCACGTTCTGCCAAGCCGACAGCTCTATTTTATAGCTCTCAGTCAGAAAAATTCTGTCTGACTGTGCAAATCTGTGCAATATCTCCTGCTGAGTGACAGCTGGGAAATAACCTACAGATTGGAATGTCTAAGGGGTATCAGTGATTAATGTTGCCCCTAAGTGGTTTTCTTCTCAGAAACCACTTAGACCTTGCCTTAGAGATCTTTAAAGTTAGGTGTTCGCATCCAGGCACCCTGCCATGGACCCACTGGTGTGACCTATTGTAATTACTGTTCAGATTTTTCAGACTGGATTTTCTTAAATCTATGAGAAAACACTTCTTTTATACTACACTATATATCTTTATAGTAACACGAAATTGCTTACAGAGAAGCCAAACAAAAGCATCAGTACAAAGTCTTTACAGAAAAAAAGGCAGTATTTTAACACTATCTGAGAGAATAATGCAAATATTTAAATATCTTAAATAATTTTCAAGCTGAAAAGAAATATACCTGGTTAAACTGTAACTAAATCCATAGCACACGTTGTGTGTCTCAGAGCATGCCATTTTGAGTTTTGTTAAGTCAGGCATGAAGCACACTGTAAAAAATTTTGACAGCATTATAAAAATATTAGTTATTCAGTGTCAGTGAAGGACTTTCTATCGCTTAGGAATATAAACTCTGGTGGCAAGTGTGTTTCTTAAAAAAAAAATCGCTGACTGATGAATGGATGTGGTTCTGCAATTTTTCTCAAAAAGTATTTTTCCTAGATTCTTCTAACATTAACAAGTGATATCTTGTATAGTCCACCAGAATACAGAAGAGATGCTGCACAATTATGAAGACAGGGCTAAAATTTAAAATGCTGCTGCGTATTTTTTTCCAATCAATGTCCATCTGCAAGTCTGAATGTATTTCTAGAATAATAACAAATTTATCTAAATTTTGGATCAAAATTCAATAGCTAAGCACTCTGACACTCTTAATTCTATAAAAAATTAATGTGTTCTAAAGCTAAAGGATATTGCACAGATATAACATGCTATAATCGCACACATCTGGGATAGCATGAGATACACAAAATGTGCAGCATTGTAAATGAAGGAAGACAGGAAGCATTTGGATTTTGATAACTCATATTTTTAGAGGAAGGAATTATATAAGGTCTCCCCTGAGCCTCCTTTTCTCCAGGCTAAACAGTCCCAGTTCCCTCAGCTGCTCCTCAGAAGACTTGTTCTCCAGACCCCTCACCAGCCTCGTTGCCCTTCTCTGGACACGCTCCAGCACCTCAACGTCCTTCCTGAAGTGAGGGGCCCAAAACTGAACACAGTAGTCGAGGTGCGGCCTCAACAGTGCCGAGTACAGGGGCACGATCACTTCCCTACTCCTGCTGGCCACACTGTTTCTGATACAGGCCAGGATGCCATTGGCCGCCTTGGCCGCCTGGGCACACTGCCGGCTCATGTTCAGCTGGCTATCGACCATGATGAAAGCAATTTTATTTAAAAAAAAATAAACAACAACAAAAAAAACCCCTATGTCCAGACCACCTCACATTTGCAGGGAGTAACTGATTTATAGTGCATTAAATACATTAACACATTCCGTCAGTGCCATAGCTGAAACTTGGAGATGGAGGAAAACAGACCTTGGAGGCAAGAAAAGCAGGAGTCTCAGATCAGGTATGCATATGCCATAGCAAGTTCTGCATAGAGCGTGTTAGTGTTAACGATGAAGGGGAAAAAAGCACTTAAGTTTTTTAAGTGCTTAAGCTGTATCAAAGTTACCGGCCATGCCCTGCTTCCACATTACTGCTTGGGAATGCAGAAGTGAAGAGCCCTAATATGTTGGGGCAATGGCTCCTCAGATTTTTGATTTTGTTCTCAGCTGTGAGCTCTCATTTCACTATATTCTGATTATTCCCCCTGTAATATAACTGGCAAAAAATTACTTTTACTTAAAGAAGATGTTACACTGTATTTCCCCTTGCAACAGTGGGTCTCCAGGCCATCTGAAGCACAGAGCTGCATTTAACAGGTGATGATAGCTGTGGCCATGAATATTCATCACAACCTTTAACAGATGTTTTACAAAATTCCCATCATCTGATTCCAAATGAAGCCTACATACAGTATGCATGAAATCTGGCATTACAAGCATTTCTGAAAATCTGATTAACATTTCCTAATGACTCAAGAGTTCCCCAAATAGCTATACCTCTAACTCTGTAATGCTAATAAAGTCCAAAAAATAGAGGCTAGATTGTTCCACTTCTTCTCATGCTGAATAGTGCTTTAAATCCATGAAAGGCTTAAAGGATACTGAAGGGGCCTATCCATAGAAATTTAAACTAACCAAAGTTGAAAAAATACGACCCAAGAATCTTCACATTCATTTTATAGCCACATTTATCTATATTTCTTAGACTAAGCAACATACTTCATATGTAAACAAATTGGAATGGGTAGAAGTGCTCACTATAAATGATGTAGCACTTTCCAAAGACAACATAATCTGACATTTTTTGATCCTGATATAATTGGTATGCTTTGATCACCAAGAAAATGAATTAAAAGTAACAAACTTTTATTTCCAATTTGTTCAATGTGAACATTTAAATTTATAATAAAAAGAAGCAACCAGGGAACATGACAGCATATTAATAAGCATGCTAGCAAGTTTGTATAATATTCTGCCTTCAAAAGGTAGAAAGTAAAATTTCTACCTTGATAAAAAGTAGAAAGATGAAATTTCCTAGAAATAAAGCTCTATTCAGTTTGAGTGGGAATAACAATAGGTACGATAAAGGTACCAGGATATCTCTAAGGCTTACAAAGTGATTTGCATGACAGATTTAATTTAAAAATTGAAAACATTCTGATGGAAACTATTTTTCTTCTTCAAAATCTAGACTTCATACTTCATTTTAATTTTTTTAAATTTAATTTAGTATTAAAAATATATTTTAGTTTTACTGGGAAAAAAAAAGAAACACTGTCCCATTCTTGGATTCCTATGAAATTTCTTTAGTCCTAAAATCTTGTGTTAATATAACAGCAATAGCAGACAGATATTAGAAAAATAATGATGATTTTCATTCTTCAGCTGTACTTAGGAGCATGATAAAAGTTTCCAGTTATTTGCTTAAGAGAAAATCATCCTCACAACATTTCGTTGTTAAGTTATGTTTTCTTATTAAGGGATGAAAGAAATTTTGTATTATTAAAACAATTTCTGAAGGAAATCAGAAGTAAGAAAATATTTATCTTTGAGATGTAGCAGAACATGAAGGTATTGAAAGCCACGGTCCACCACATTTCATTGCTGTTGATTTAATGGGAGCTTTTACATACCTTTATTGTATTGAGTACAACATTTAAAATCAAGTAAATAGCTGTTAGGTAGAAAATAATTAATACCAAACATAAAGAGACATGCAGGAAGGAAAAATAGCTGCTTAATGTAGCTATTTGCATTTAAACTCACAACTGCCCCCAATACAATGCCTTTTTTTTTTACATACTTCATTATATTGTGCATATTTAGCCCTTTTAGACAACAATTTATTTAACCATTTCCTTTTTGCCCATGGAACCGTATTGTTATCACATTCATTCAGCAATTTTCTTTCTGACACGATCAGGAAAAATGGTATAGCAAATGCTTCAAAAGCAAGACTTAAAGATAGCCAAGAAAATTCTCTTTACGTTTACACAAAAATTGGGATTCTAGTCAAAGACCTTCGACTCAGACTCTAAGGCAGTTCTAGTTATCAAAGATCCTGGGAAATCACTTCTCCTCACACACATTGGGAGAGTAAATGCCCTATTCTCAAAAGACATAGATCAAACTGAACATAAATCTCTCAGGGTTACTGTTTTCATAAATTAACTCTTGAATCAAAAGCACAACTGAAAATACAGCTTTTCTGATTTTGAATTAGACACAGACACAAAGCTTCAGTCTTGGAAGGGAATATGTGTTTAATCCACACTTTCTTGCTCTGAGAAATAAAAACAGATTTTAGACCTTTGCTGGGTTTTGTCCCCACGTTGACTTAAGGATATATTTTACACCATTTCTTCATGATATGAATAAAGGGTGAAAAACAGGGCATTCAAACTCTCAGCCAGCTTTATCAAAATGATACAGAGGAGAGCTGGCAAACGTGCTTAAAACCATATATAGTGAGTCCTGGTTTTTATTCTTTTTTAATGTAATTACACCTTTCAAAAGACTTTAAACTGGCAAAAATCCAAGCAATTGATTCAGTTTTCTTGTCTTGGAATTTCTTTGGTTTTCTTTGTATTCTTTGACTTTGTGTGTTAATCTAATATTTCTAAGTAATTTAGTTTAATTTACTCCTCCGTTCCCCTAACTGCTTTGATAACTGCTTTTACTGTACATTGCCTTTATAAAACAAACAATATATTGTTTTTACCTTTGCTTCAATTTGTTTAGTATCTTGGTTTTGGAACAAAAATTTGATTTTGCTCTTCCCATCATCTGAAGAACCTTTGAGCTGGGAAAACTTGTACCTCCAAAGCAAAGCCTAGAGGAAAAAAAAAGAAACATAAAAAGCCAAGTAAGTCAGCGTAGTTATCATTGAAAATTGTATTAGAAATAGCCGATCTCCTTCCAAGGGAATTTTTGACCCCTCTATGGTACATAATTAAATCAATTTAGTGTTATGTGGTCTGATGTCCCTTTGATCATATGGATGTATTAGGCTTTGGCAGTGTCTGATTCAGATCAGTCAGACTACATTTGTGAAATTTACTCTGAAATTCCCTTATCTATATTTAATCCTGATTAAACAAAAAGAGACAGGGTTAGTAAATTCATTGTCATGCCAAAAAACAAAGACCCTCTCTTTTTCTTTCCTCATTAAAAAATCTAGTTGTATTAACATAAAGGGCATATCAAATTAAAAACAAATATCTATTTTTAAATTATAAAATAACAAAAGGGAACCCTGTAATGAGAACTTATTTTGAGTTTACTTATGAGAGTTCTAATCAGGAATTTGAGCAGATCATTAATTCTAAGCCTATCAGTGGACTTTCAAGTAATTATATTATGAATTACATTGTGTCTTGTTGAAAAAAAAGGCATTGCTCTACAGAATAAACATACAATTAATAAAATTTACAATTGGCTAGAAAAACATCTATTTTTTTTATATATCTAATGTGGATTTATGTAGAAAAAAATAAATTCCAAACTACTTTGCTTAAAAGTGGAAAAGAGCTATTTTTTATTGTAAGTCTTTTCAACCACATTTAAAGATATTCCTCCCACCCTGCAGATATTTTGAAGCACTAACATTTTTCATTGTGATTTCAGTAGTATTTCACATAATTATAAGGTCATCCTCACTCACATTGTGCTGCTGCTTTGAGGAGACATTAATTTCACATGCATTGGCCAACACAGAAACTTAAGGGAAGAAGTGCTGTTCCATTTTCTTTTGTCTAAGGGTTCGTAAACTACTTCGTCTCAGTGGCGTAGGATGACACTTCCATCTGTGCCCTTTGTCTGTATCCATGAATGATTTAGTATCTACTTGAAATTAAACAGACTATAAGGGAGGTCAAATTTTTAACTGTCCTAAATCTATGCAGGTCCCTTTGCTTCAGGATGTGTTGATCTTTTTATGTTAATGACTGGCAAAAATCTCTAACCTGCACCAAGCTAAATAAAGTTAGCTGTGTTTGTTTTAGCAACTTGAAAAGGAAAAAGCCCAAAAGGACAGTATCTTAACTGTGCACAGTACACAAAGCAAGTGCTAGAATTATTTTCCCCAAAATTCTCCCTATATATTTACCCCTTCCAGATAAAAAAAAACAAACCTAATCTCAACACCACTTTCATTCTCTGTGTGTATGTGAGAGGTGAGCTCCCATCTACCATAAACAGAGTTAAAGACATTCTGTTTCAGATAAACTAGAGGAATTTGGCAATTTATGTGAAACTATATCATATTTATTTCAAATGCTGTCCTCCTGAGCCCACCAATCTGTGCTGCAGAAAATAGAATAGCTTCCCTCATCTCTAAGTGTGTGCAATTCTTTTCACCTTGTTTGATCAATGATGTTTACTTATGTCCTGTAGACAGTGAGTTAAAAAAACAAACCAAAACAACCCAGTATACTATTCAGGTGGCCATACTTCCTACCTACATTGTAAACTCCTTTTTTTTACAGACCTATGTAACTCAACAAATCTTGTCAGAAGATCAAGACCATTGCCTTTCTGCAGGAACAGCAAATCTATTTAAGCATGTCATTTCCTAGATGAGAAATGTAAAAGGCATTGATGGTGTCTCTATCTCAGGAGAACAACAATCAAAGAAATGAGCCATCATCTTTATCTTCTCTGATGATGTATGGGGAGGCCAGGAGAGAGGTGCAGTAGTAACAAGGACCCTTAGATGGGCAGGCAAAATCCCAGGGTACCTGGCCTTATTCCCAATCAGATTAAGTTTGAGTGAAGATGAAGGATGTACAGACTGCAGTACTTTGGCATTTCCCATGCAGTTCTGCCACTCGCTTCATTCCCACTCAGAGGCAAGAGAATGACAGTCACACCAAACCACAGGCATGATTAAAGAACACATTTCAGTTTATGCATAACATCGGTTTTGGAGCCCTACTTAGCAATGGCTCTTACTTAAGTACATTGCAAAATCAGGTCTATAGCGTGGAGGGGATGAAATCCTTCTCGAAAATAATCCCAACAAGACTGCAATTCTTCCATCAGGATATTAAAACAAGTTCCTAGAACTGACAGTTCAACAGCATACTTTGCAGAAACTGTTAAACGCTCTTCGTCTAAAGTGTAAGGAATAAAAATGCCATTGACAATGCATGAAATTATTCCCAAATGGAAGAACTATGTTTCTTTTGAGTGATTTTCAACAAATTGCACACATTTTTTCCCCAAGATGTCCATATGAAGGAGGGTTCTTTTTGCAAAAATAAGAGTGGGGAAACGTTGTAAGTTTTAAGTTACCAAGTCAGGGATAGAAAGTATTTCAACCATTCAAACTAGTCATCCTGGCTACTTCTTTTGTTCTAGAGAATTTCTGAATAACAGTTCCTTCATCCTGGTTTGAACTGCGATGAATATTTGTTCACTCTGATACACTCTGGATGTGTCTACACCTCAATGTATCACACTACATTAGAAGTGTAACAACAAACTTAAACTAGATGTCAAATTCTAGATAGCTAAAATTGGGTGAATTAGTCAAGCATATGCCCAGTAAGACTCATTTAATTCCTTGTCTCCTACCAAAGAAGCTGAAGTGCTGCCCTGTGTAGCCAGAACTGCATGTTTTGCATGTGTAGCAGATGATGCAGAATGCTGTGACCAGCAGTCAGATCACTCTTTTAAAATATAGTACCTTCTGTACTTACTGTACAGTACCTACGTTGCTTCCTCTTGTGGTTTCATATGTTGTGGGTGGGGTTTTTTTCTTTTCATTTCCACCTTATCTGTATGAGGTTCCACAAGGCCAAATGTCGGGTCCTGCACTTGGGCCACAACAACCCCATGCAGCGCTACAGGCTTGGGGAAGAGTGGCTGGAAAGCTGTCCAGCAGAGAAGGACCTGGGGGTGCTGGTTGACAGCCAGCTGAATATAGACAGGCAATGTGCCCAGGTGGCCAAGGCGGCCAATGGCATCCTGGCCTGTATCAGAAACAGTGTGGCCAGCAGGAGTAGGGAAGCGATTGTCCCCCTGTACTC